ATTTTAGTAAATTACTTAATTTTTTTTTATTTATACTAACTTTTATAATTAATGTTTACAGCTTTTTGGGTTTCATATTATGACGATGAGATTTATCGATTACTGCCACAGGGATTTTTTGAAGGCTCGAAGTTGTGGTGTATCGTCACGCCTTTGCTTCACTTTGCGCTTGTTGAGATGCACATTGCAGATAGAGTGTTGTGACAGTTTTCATCCCATCAACCAATTCTTATGCAAATATTTGATATGGACGCGCTCCATAGAATTTATACGATTAGGAAGCATAAAGAGAATTGGTCGAGGAAGCATGACGTATACATTTAGTAATGGAATGAGTGGCATTTATCTGTCCCTATGTGTTTCGAGATTATAATTGTTGACCTTGATTTCGATATTTCTCTTTACCTCCAAAATTATAAAGCAAATGGGAACCCATATTTAACAAAATCGGAATAGAGGGAACAATGAGAACAAATGAATACCAAATCCGCAAAGGGCAAAAAATCATCATCATCGACATCTTCTTCTTTTGCTTCTTTTATTATCGAATATTTTGCATCTCAAACTTGTTATAGTTTTTATCTTTCATATCATGCTTCAATAGAGAGTCAACCAAATTAGGTTGGAGGCTCATCGGATGCAATGCAAAGCACTCAAGCATCTTTGACAGAACATGTAGGTGAATGAGATCATATTATATATGGTCAACAATGTACTGATTTCGGTGGTCAATTCGAGTCAATGACGGTAATGATGTCATCAAATACCTTAAGTACTCCATCACCGTATTTCGAAGGCGGATCTCAAAGTGGAGTGATGTTCAGTACACCTCCTGTTAAGTAAGCAAACGAAGATGAAGACGATCAAGGCGAACGACCAAGATAAAATCGACGAGTCCCATGTCATTATCATTCGATCACTCCTCGACATCGTCAAGAATTATGAAAATATAAATATTTTTTTATGGATTGTATTAGTTTATAGTAACTTTTTATTATTATTTGTAATAAATTGTTTTGAATTAAATGATTTTTTAATTATTTTTAAATGAAATTCGATGAAACTCGTCACATCGATATAACGAGTTTCAATGGTTATATTGTTTAAAAAAATAAAAAAATCATTGTCCAATGACTAGTTTATTTTAAATTCTAAAGAAACTAGTCACATCGACATGAAGAATTCTGTGGGTTTTTTTGAATTTTTTTATAATTTTTAAATTAAGTATTGAATTTAAAAAATAAATTTTAAGATACTCGTTACGTCGAGGTGATGAGTTTCTAAAAATATATTATAATATTAACCCACATGAGACTCACTTCCCTAGGATCATTAGAAAATATTTTTTGGACAAGCTCGTCACGTCTAAAAAGATTTACGTAGAATTATTGTTTTGTCTCGTTAGAAACTAAGGTTTTTCATGTAGGCAATGTTGAAGGAATTTGCTGCTCTCTCCACAAACTTCCTAGCTCCTTTAAACCACCTCTTGTCCCCAGCTTGTGCCTTGCAGATGTAAAGCTTACCACCGTTTACGGTTGTTGTAATGAGTTGGTGCTTGCCGCCTTAATCTCCGTCAGTAATCCTTGTCAGCACCGATCGATCTCCGGAGTTGAAGTCTCCAATATGTTTGCAGTTGCTACAGCCTTTGAGTCGAACCCACCCTACAACATGCACGCCGTTTCATGATATTAGAGATTTGCTTGTAATCAGAAACAAAATTATTTTTAAAAAAATAAGATGATTGATTCAAATGCCAATGGCCTCAAGAATTACAACAGTTGTAATACATTATGGAATATCGATAACAAACCAAAGAGGATTAATCCTCGACAAAGCCCATCGAATCAAAGCATGGGCGACAAGATTAGACTCGCGACTGGCATATTGCACCTTAAGTTGCGGGTTACTTTCCATGATCATGCGTAGTTCGTTGAGCATCAATCCAATTACTGAGATGTCGTCTTTCGGGTTCACCAAGCGATTGACAATGGAGAAAGCATCTCCTTCAATGATCGCATACTCCCATCCATTATCGGTTGCCATACGTAATCCTTCCGTGAAACCAATCACCTCCACCTATTCATCCTAGTGTGGACCATCCAGTCATTTCGTGATCCCACCAACCACCATTCCATTTTTGTCTCCCGCAACAATTCCAATAGCAGTCACTCCTGTGTTGGGGAGGAATGCCCCATCAACGTTAATTTTGATGCTCTCAGACGAGGGGGAAGTCCACTTCTCTCTCTCTCTCTCTGAGCTCTGCAATTTGAGTTGGAGAAAGCTAATGATGTCCCATTCGCTTCTTTGAAATCAGGCCCGATAATCCAAGCTGCATTTATAACATCCCTTGGAATGATTAATTATTTTATTTACAAAATTTTATAACATCCCATGTAACCAAACACAACCGGCAATTTGGTGGGATATTTGATGAGGAAAATGGATGAAATGATCATTCAACTTAGTTGGTAGAGCATAAGATTTTTAATTTTGGGGTCGTAGGATCGAGTCTTATGGAGGCATTTCATAATTCAGAGGTCTCCTACGAAAGTTGCTCTCAACCTGGTATTAGGGTAGCCTACTATCTTAATTCCCCTTACCCAATTACATATGGTAATAAGGGTTAACTAATTTTATTTGATGAGGAAAATGGATATTAAGACCACGTACTTGAGAAGAATGGGCATCGCTGCCTTTTCAACGTATCCGAAGACAATTATTCGTGCAATTAAATAAGTGTATTATTCATTTCCACGTGAAAGGCCAGATTAGGGAGTAGGCCCACTTGGCCACTTACAACAAACTGCCACCCGTCCTCAACTTAAATAAATATATAAACAAATTTCGTCTATAAATTATCATAGGATATATGATTAATTAATGAAAAAGTGATCTTACAAGATCACAATATATAAATTACATCAATCATTACTGAATTTTATTTTTTCTTTTTTCATTCAATGTACTTTAAATTCGTTTAATTTTCTCACTGAATTTAATACAGTTAATATTTTTATCAATCAGCCGTTAAATATTTAACGACGTTAAAACGATGTCGTTTTAGAAAAATAAAATTTTCACCGAAACGATGTCGCTTTACATCTATATAACAGCTCATTTATAACGTTGTTTAGTGAGAAAACGGTTAAGTGGCCAAAAATGCTAATCGTAACAAATTCAATGAGAAAATTGAATTGATTTAAATTACAATAAGTGAAATAGGGGAGAGAGAATAAAGTTCAGTGATGATTGATGTAATTTACCTTCTACGAATAACACGTTATATATTCTATTATTTAGTCTTAATTTAACAATAATAAGAGTCTAAATCATTTTTTATCTCGGTGTCTAAATTTTTTCGATCAATATATGTGTCTAATGATATCAATGTTATTATTGTGAGTGTCTGATCTGTTACTACTGTTAAAAAATCTATTATATAAAACATTTTGCGCTTATAAAATTTTAAAAAAAATTATTTAAAATAAAAAAACTTAAAATTATGTATTTTTAAGGAAATTTCAATCTATTGATTTATTTATAAACTTATTTATGTTCGAGGGGATAAAATATTATTTTATTAAGTTATTTATTAGATAATTTATGTTCGAGTCCATAAACAAGCTGAACTTAATTTATCAAAAATATATCCGAATAACTTCTTGCTTAAGAAACTTTTTCAAATGTAGAGGTGTTGAATTATTATAGATACATAATATAGTATTTATTATTGTTGTTATTATTAAATATAAACTAATTATGACATGTATCTACCTACCAAATCTGGTTAAAACGTAATACATAATTAAAAAGACTTTTAATTTTAAGGTAAATTAAGTATTTGGTCATCTACCTATTACCTAATTTTTGTTTTGATCATCAAACTATTACTTTTTTAGAATCATATCTAACGTTGTGTTTGGTTCTATTTTGATCATCTATAGTTAAAAAATAATAGTGATATTGACATGACACTTTATATTTTTAACTGACATAATATTATCTTATAATGACACGTTAGTATCATTGCTGTTTTTTTTTAACGATGAGATAACAAGATAGAATCAAAATGCACTACGGTTAAGTGTGAATTTGGAAAACATAATAGTTATATGACCAAAATTAAAACCATGTAATAGATGAGTGACCAAATGGAAAGTTTACCTCTAGTTTTAATATAATTTTGAAAAGTCTATGTAGTGAATGTGATTCTCACGTACAAGTAAAAGGCGTAAATAATTTTAAGTATTTGATTACCTCCATTCTTCATTCATTTCTTGTCAGTATCACCCACTGTCCTCAAAACATATCACCAGCCCTTCTCCCTCTGTCCTCTCCCTGGTTTGTGCTCTTTTTCATCCTTTGTCTTTTCAAATTGTTTATGTACAAATTAAGATATTTTCTACAAGAACTGCAATTCTTTGATCGTGCTCCTCTTTTCTTGTATTTGATTCTAGTAAAGTTCTTAGTTTGGAATTCTGGGTTGTTTTTATCTTTTTAGTTGTTGGTTTTGTTTGTTTCTTGGATTTATCTTTTGCTTGCTCGGGTCCTTGCCTTGGCTGCTTTCTCTTCCTTGAACTTGGATATTTCTGGGGATTCTTCTTTTTCAAACTGCAGTAGCAAATTTCTGCAACTTTGAAGATACTATTTTTTTGCTTGCTTTATTTCGACTACTATGCCTTTTCTTTTTGGGTGAAGTTCGTGTTTTAAATTCAGTGCCCATGGAGTTTTAGATTCTACAGGCAGATTAGTAGCAGTGGAAGTGAAAAATTTTCTGTTAAAATATTAAGTTAAAAAATTCGAGGTAGATGGTCACTTCTTTGTGCTCTATGGAAGCTACATCTTGAAAATCTGAACATTTAAGATTCCAATTCAGTATGGCTATTACTTCTTAAATGAAGTTTCAATTGCAAAATCCAATGTTCAAAAATCATCTGTACGATAGGGGTTAGCTAAAAATTGAAACATAAATTTTCAACTATCATTTAGTCTGCTTTGATACTTATGAATATGTCATGATGGATATGATGCTGGATTCGTCTTGCTACCACAAATTACTAGAAATTGTTTCTTATATTTCAGTTGTCGGTTGTTTATGTGTCTAGTGAGAAGCCAAGCAAAAAGAAATTTTCTTTTGTTTTTGTGTGGTAATAAGATTAATTATCAAGACTCTGTTCTTGAATCTTTTTCCCCATACATATTGCAAATTTACTAATAAAAAATTCAGATTATTTGTGAGATGTTAGAATATTGATGAGATTTCAGTGCTGTTCTGTTTGTTCTTGGAAATAATTGTCTCTTTTTTTGAAGCATAGGAATAATGCCTGAGAAAATAACACCAGAGGACCTTTTGAGCAATCTGGTGGAGACCGTTGCCGATAGTGTTTCTAAGAAGAAACCTGTGTCTTTTTTTGAGGAAGAGAAATCAAACTCAGTTGCCTCCAGATTCAACCGGCTTTTCGGACGTGAGAGACCTGTCCACCATATATTGGGGGGTGGAAAATGTAGGACTTTCTACTCTTTTCTTAAAATTGCTAAAAAACCACTTGCATTGATAAACGTTGTTACTGTAAATTGTGCAGCTGCTGATGTTTTGTTATGGAGGAACAAGAAGATCTCAGCCAGTGTTTTAGCTGGTGCAACAGCAATATGGGTTCTATTTGAATGGCTTAATTACCATTTCCTGACCCTTTTATGCTTTGCTTTGGTTCTTGGCATGCTTGCTCAGTTTGTTTGGTCAAATGCCTCTGGTTTTCTTAACAGGTGCTTATCTGCTGTTTTTATTTCTTTTTATTTGTTTCTCTTCATGGTTTTGCTGCTATGTGTTCACCGAATGGATTGCTTAGTGTTTTTTTTATATATAGTAAATTGCTTCATGGAAACAGGTCATCTTCTCAAGTGCCACGCCTTGTTTTGCCGGACGAATTATTTGTCAGCATCGGTAGGTCAGTTGGTTCTGAGGTGAACCGGCGCTTACAGTTTCTGCAGGATGTTGCATGTCAAGGAAACCTGAAACAATTTCTTGTGGTAGGCTCTTAATATTTCCCTAGTACTCTTCCCTTAGCTACATATTCTTGCAAAGTAAATGGTCCTTGTTGATCCATATACCTTTTAAAATTTCTGGCATATATTTCTAGAAACATTCAGCAAATTCTTAAATTGTGTATTATTAATGCAGGATGAAGCAAAGTTGTGATCGATTTCTATATGCATTCTACTTACTGTTGCATTCTTCACTATTTCTTTAACCTGAATTTTGAATTACTTTCTTATTTTTGGTTGTATACTTGTAATTGCTTGTTAAAATTGAAAGTATTGAAGTGAAATATGTCAATAAATGGCCCTTACTAATCCAGAAAAAGATTGAAAAATCAAACGAAAAAAAAATATTTTGGAACAAGTTTCAGCATGTTCGATTCACAACGCAAAGAAAACTTACATTGTTATAGACTTTTATAGAACATTTCAACTTTGTTTCCAATCACATGATGTGGGAGAAGAACATTTTATTGAATCTGCATTCCTAACAAGCTTCCTATGTTGCACTAGATTTGCTGGAGTGAATTATTAATAATCAAAATCTTCGCAGATTGCGGTAAGCTTGTGGGTTGCTGCTGTTATTGGAAGCTGGTGCAACTTTTTGACTGTTTTGTACATTGGTAAGAATTTATTAACTTTATCTTGCATTAATCGCTCGGTAGTTCCATTTAAAAAAAGAAGAAAGCACGGTGATACTCTTGATGTGTGGTTGTGTGCTCTGTTACTTGGACTTGGGTGTGACAGGCGGATACGGATATGTCCAATACGGGTATATGTCCGGTACAGTTATATCCTTGCACCCTTGTCTGAAAATGTGTTGGATTCAGGTAATTTGGGGAAATTAAAGAGGAGCAACATAGGTTGTCTGCACCATATTTAAGCACACAATAATCTGTTTATGGAACCATACAAGTTTTTATTTATTTATTTTGGTTATCAGGTTTTGTTGCGGCCCATACATTACCAGTGCTGTATGAGAGGTATGATGAGCAAATAGATGGGTTTGTTTACAATATGTTTGAGCAGCTTCAGAATCACTATAAAAAGTTGGATTCTGGTGTCAAGGGAAAGTGGAAGCTTAAGAAGCATGACTAGCTTCATTTGATCACCCTCATTACATCTTTAGGGTTTCTGTAGCATATCTTGTTGTTGGGATCTGATATATATATTCTCAAACACTTGAATAAATATCCCATCCTCATCTGTTGGGTTTATTAACGATATGCTGTGTTCCATTGTTACTCAAATTCAAGGGTCAGTGTTAGATATGGGCATGTTTAATTTTCTTCCCCCAAGATACTTGGAGGGTCACCTCCCAGTTTCGTTCTTTAGTTGCAAAACCAACTTTAATGGTGCAGTCAAGTGAACATGAAACTAAATTACTGTCTTTTAACTGTTGTGTTTTGTTGATGCAATTCTAATCTAGTGTTTAAATATAATCTTCTAAGCATGTACTCATTGACTGATTGAAGATGACACGTACACATGTGCCTCCGCCGTTCGGACGACTTGTACAATTACCTGTCTTCAACATGTGTCACAGACGTTTTTTTAAAATAAAATTCGTATAATTCATGAGGGTGATATTCATGAAAAAGTGTTGATTTTGATAACGAACAAAGGATGCCATCAGCTAGTGCTCGATTCAACTCATCAGGATATTGTCTTAAAGCAAGCCAGTCAAGTCATGAACTTAATTGTTTGTTCAATTATCTTCCTTTATTGAATCAACCAAGTGAACCGTATGCATCTCCATTTTTAACCCAAAGTTTTGGGTTTTGAAGCCTATAACTCATGTTTAAAGAAAAAACAATGTTAAACAAATAAAACATTTTGACTTCTCCTGTTAAAATCATATGGTCTAACAAACCAAACCAAACAATCACGGATGAAATAACATTACTCTCCTCGCATATCTACACTTCTAAAACATTGTAAACCAATATTTTGTCGACATTTCAATCACTTTTCACAGCAATCCCAACCACTTATAAAATTTCAAAACCATTTTTTCTCACACTTACTCCAAATTTCCAACCCAAGCTTCTTCGAAATCAAGTTTTTTTCAACATCAATGCTATAAACTTACCTTAAGTTGTAGCACATTTTTTTTTATCAATTCAGGACTACAATTCATATTCCAACTATGGTTTCAGTAGTTTCCTCAATTTACTCAAATCGGCTAGGCTAAGTTCCAAAAAGATTTGCCCCCAACTAAAAAACTAGAACTGAATCATATTTCCATATTTATTAGAAATCGCCTAATTGAAAAAGGGGAAATAGAACTTTTAAACCATGTCTGCCGACATTATTGACTCTAAATCCCCATTGTTGACTCGACTTGCTAGCACAATAACCAGTTCATAAAAGCCAGCGTAAGTACTCCTGATCCAACTTGTACATTAAAGAGATAAATTGAAGCAACCATTTCTATAGTTTGCATATTTCATGGAAGGGCTAAAGTAAAACAGATAAGTCAGAATCAAGCAAGGACCTCTTAATTTGAACCACAAAAGAATTGAGAAGCTAAACCATCTGCTGCTACACTGCTACTAAACTTTGCAACTCGAACAAAGGACTCCATACACAGACGCTGTACAGGATAAATATTGTTTAACATATTATAAGTAAGAGTACTTCTGCATGTCATAAAACTTAACTTACTGACTAGACATTTCAATTTCATTTAGGCCGCATTCCGTGGTACCTAAAACCTTTCGGTTGGAAAGCTCTTTAAGATGTTTAACTTCGTTCTCCACATCAACCAATTTGTTACTCAGAAGAGAAACGGCATCCTTGCGCGCATCCAATTTCCCTATCCACCCAGCTTCAAAATCCTTAATCTTATTCTCAATTAACTGTCTATTAAGCCTCTCCTTCTCTTCTTGTTTCAGACGCTGCTTTTCTATTTCCCTTGTGCTCAGAACTAAACCCCCAGACCCAATAACATCCTTGGAGAGTGGTTAATCAGGCAGGGGACGTTGTCCTCTATACTCGGCAAAAGCTCTGTTTGTTTCCTTCAGAGCCTTTCTGTATCCATTTAAAAGGTCTTACATCAAATAGAGCTCGCGCTCAAACCTATACACCTTCATCTGTCTCTTCTGCTGCTCTTCAAACTTGGCCTTCTGCAAATGTTCGATTAGGCTATCCCTCCGTTGCAGCTCATGGAGCAAAACTTGTTGGTTCATACTGGAATCTCCATAAGCTTGTTCTTTGGCAGAATACAGCATTCTAGCTTTCTCCATCAGATGCTGCATTTGATCCATGCATATATCAAATTCAGATGAATTATCCCATTGCCCATCAGTTCTCAACCTCTTATTGCTAACATTCAAAGAATTGCGACAAATATCATTTTCATGATCAATCTCTCTCCTGTTACCATTACCCAGAAACGACGAGACAGCAGGAACTGTTTGCACATCAACCCTAGATATAAGAAATTCTCCTGGTGAGTTAACGCGAATGTGCAGTGTTGGGGAAAATGAGTTATTTCCCACACGAACGTAGTTTTAAAATTGACCTAAAATATCAAGATTAAAACCACCAAAAGTTGCACAGCGGATAAACCTGTCAAACTTTTGAATATTGAAACACAATGGAAAAGAACCGAATAAAAAACAATAAAGGAGAGAACACACCAAATTTACGAGGTTCGACGAGAATATCGTCTATTCCTCGGGCACCACACCGGATGATAACTTCACTATATCGCCAATATTACAACAAATGGAATTCTTTGGAATTCTCAAAGTAGGAGAATGAAGAATACAAGAGGAAGAGAGAACTTGTTTTTGGGATGATTTCTAATGGAAATACTTAGGCCTATTTATAGTTGAGTTTCAAGAACAATATGTTCAAAGTTTGGCCATCTACCAAAGAATTTTCCAATGTGTACAAGTTAGCCACCAAATATGAAATTCACATGTTCAAAGTTTGACCACCAACCAAGATGAAATTTCCAATAAGTTAGCCACCAACCAAGATGAAATTTCCAACTTGTCAACTTAATTTCTAGACAAATCTCCACCTTGGCTTGAAATTACCAAGCCTACTCAACTTCTTCAACTCCCCAAATTTGTAGTGCCTCTAATTGCGCTCACAAGCGCCACACACCCGAAGGTGTTCATACTTTCAGGATGTTAATCAAGTTCAAACAATGATTGAACTTGATTACTGTTACCACCTTGGTCATCATATCTGCAGGATTTTCTGATGTCGCAATTTTCTGAAGTAGAATCTTTCATTCTTCAAAGATCTCCCGCACAAAGTGATACCTCACGTCGATATGTTTAGTCCTTGAATGATAGACTTGATTTTTCGCTAAGTGAATAGCGCTCTGACTGTCACAATAGAGACTAATGTGACTTTGAACAACTCCCAAGTCTTCCATCAACCCGTTAAGCCAAATTGCTTCCTTTACAGCCTCTTAAACTACCATGTATTCCGCCTCTGTAGTAGACAAGGCCACCGTAGATTGCAATGTAGACTTCCAACTTACTGGGGCTTTAGCAAGAGTAAAAAAATACCCAGTAGTTGATCGACGCTTATCCAAATCACCAGCATAATCGGAATCAACATATCCAACCATACACTGACCAAGTGCTTCATCCTGTTCAAAAACTAAACCAACATCCACGGTTTGTTGGAGATACCGTAGAATCCATTTCACAGCTTGTCAATGTCCTTCTCCAGGATCATGCATGTACCTGCTCACAACTCCAACTGCTTGTGAAATGTCAGGACGCGTACACACCATTGCATACATCAAGCTCCCAACTGCATTAGCATATGCAACTTTTGCCATATACACTCGTTCTTCGTTAGTTTTAGGAGATAATTGAGAACTAAGTTTCAAATGAGAAGCCAATGGGATACTTACATGTTTGGTATTTTCATTCATGCCAAAACATTGTAATACCTTTCTCAGATACTGCTTCTGTGTTAAACAAAGCTTCCCTCTCTGTCTATATCTGCTTATCTCCATACCAAGAATCTTCTTGGCCTCACCTAGATCTTTCATCTCAAACTCTTGATTCAACTGAGCCTTTAATTTATCTATCTCCTTTTGACTCTTCGAAGCGATCAACATATCGTCAACGTACAAGAGAAGATAAATGAAAGATCCATCTTTGAGCTTTTGCAAATACACACAATGATCATATTTGCTTCTAGTATACTTTTGCCTCCTCATAAAGCTATCAAATCGCTTGTACCACTGCCTCGGAGATTGCTTCAATCCATATAGCGATTTGTTCAGCTTACAAACCCATTTCTCACAACCACCATCTTTGTATCCTTTTGGCTGTGTCATATAGATCTCCTCTTCTAAATCACCGTGCAAGAAAGCCGTCTTTACATCAAGTTGAGCTAGCTCCAAATTCAACTGTGCTACCAAGGCCAACAATATTCTAATGGAGGAATGCTTCACAACAGAGGAAAATACTTCATTGTAGTCGATTCCCTCCTTTTGAGCGTAGCCTTTAGCTACCAACCGTGCCTTGTAGCGAACATCTTTCTTGTTATGAGATCAATCTTTCTTTACAAATACCCACTTGCATCCAATGGCTCTTTTACCTTTCGGTAATTGTGCCAGTTTCCAAGTGTCGTTCTTTTGGAGAGATTGCATTTCTTCATCCATGGCACTTTTCCACTTATCACTTTCCAAGCTTTGTATTGCTTCTTGGTAAGTGATAGGGATATCATCATCAACAACTGGAAGAGCATAGGCCACCATATCAACAAATCGAGCAGGTCTACGAATTTCTCTCCTTGGCCTTGTAACTGCAAGTGTTTCTGGTGTCTCCAATGGTTCTTGGGTTTGGACCTCTTCATCTTCTGATTCTTCTATTGGAGTTGAAGAATCAACTGCATCAAATTCTGGGATCATCGTGTGCTGAAACTCCACCTGTTTTGGAGTATGCTCCACCTGCTGCGGAGTACTACTTGTCTGGACAGCTTCACTTATTACCTTCTTTACTAGGGCAGATTCATCAAAGGTAACATCTCTGCTACAAATTATCTTCTTGGTGTCTAAACACCAAAGGCAGAATCCCTTCACTTCATGGGTGATTCCCATAAAGAGAGCCTTCTTTGGTCTCGGATCAAGCTTGGATTCCTTCACATGATAATAAGTAGTGGATCCAAATACATGTAAGGAATCATAATCAGTAGCAGGATTTCCAGACCATACCTCCAATGGTGTTTTTCCTCCTATCGCTGATGACGGCAAACGATTGATGAGATGGCCAGCATATGTCACAGCCTCAGCCCAAAATGCCTTGCCTAACCCAGCATTAGACAACATACATCGAACTTTCTCCAATAGTGTTCGATTCATACGCTCTGCCACCCCATTCTGTTGTGGTGTATGTCTAACAGTGAAGTGTCGAACAATACCATACTCATGGCAAACGTCAAAGAATGGGTCACTTTTATATTCCCCTCCATTGTCCGTCCTAAGACATTTGATCTTTCTACCAGTCTGGTTCTCGATCATATTTTTCCATTTAAGGAAAATTTGAAGCACTTCATCTTTAGACTTCATCGGATACACCCAAACTCTTCTGGAAAAGTCATCTACAAAAGTTACAAAATAATGGTTTCCTCCCAAAGACGATGTCTTTTAAGGACCCCATACATCTGAGTGAATATAATCTACAATACCTTTTGTATTATGTATAGTGGTGCCAAACTTCACTCTCTTCTGCTTTCCCAGAACACAATGCTCGCAAAAGTTCAATTTGCAAGCCTTTGCACCTTTCAACAATCATTTATTTGCTAGAATTTGCAAGGATTTCTCTCCAGCATGTCACAACCGCATATGCCACAACTGGGTTGCGTCCAAATCATCACCTCCGGAAGCTGCTGCAACTGCTCCAATAATTGTACTACCTTGGTAGTAATACAAATTATTTTTCCTGATGCCCTTCATCATCACAAGTGTGCCATATGTGACTTTTAAAACTCCATCTCTCACAGTGACTACTGAGCCTTTGGATTCTAAGGCTCCCAATGAGATGAGATTTTTCTTCAAACTGGGCACGTATCGGACATCCTTCAGAACTCTGGTTGATCCATCTTGATTCTTCAATCGAATTGAACCTATCACAACATTTTTACAGGCATTGTTATTGCCCATATAAACAACTCCTGTATTTAGTTCCACTAAATCGGAGAACCACTCCCGATTATGGGACATATGATAGGTGCAACCTGAATCTAATATCCACTCATCGGAATGGAATGTTGTTGATGAAGCAACCAATGATATGTCAGAGTCATGTGCATCATGCTCTGCAATACATGCATCTGGAGCAGCTTTTCCTTTCTTCTTCAGCTTCGGACAATCTTTCTTCCAATGGCCTTTCTCATGACAAAAGGCACATTCATATTTTCCCAGTCTGGACTTCGACTTTGATCTCCCTTTCCACTTTGGCTTTTTACTTTTCGAGCGACCTCTTGCCACCATGGCCTCTGCTGCTTCGTACTTGCTCTCCTTCTTGGTTTTCTTCCTGAGTTCATAACTATACAAAGCAGCAGTTACATCTTTAAGGGTAACATTATCCTTACCATGAAGTAACGTTGTCTCAAGGTGCTCAAATTCATCTGGAAGAGATGACAACAACATCAAAGCCAAATCTTCATCTTTGAAGGTTTCATCCATGCCCAATAAGTCTTCCACTAGCTCATTGAACGCAGTGATGTGTTCATTCATACTGGTGTCTGGTTGATAATCAAATCTGAACAATCTTTTCTTAATGTGGAGACGATTCTGAGAGCTTTTCTTGAGGAATGTTTCCTCCAAAGCTTTCCACATCTTACTTGCAGAAGTCTCGTTCTTGTAGCCATACTTCTGCTCCCTGGAAAGACAAGATCGAATCGTGCTGTACGCCAAATGATTGATTGTTCCCCATTCTTTCTCCTCCATATATTCTGGCTTTTCTTCCTCAATGGTGATGTCTAGACCTTGTTGGAATAAAGCGTCTAACACCTCGCCTTGCCACATGCCGAAATGACCGGATCCATCGAACAACTCCACCGAGAAATTTGCATTTGACATCACCCTCCTCACCAGTCCAGATGAAGAGCTTGATGTCTCAACTGATCCGTATTTTGGCATTTTAATTCTAATGAATAATATTCAATATCACGAACTGTATCTTTTCAGCAACGGAACCACCAGGATAACCTCAACCGAAGCTCTGATGCCAATTGTTGGGGAAAACGAGTTATTTCCCACACGAACGTAGTTTTAAAATTGACCTAAAATGTCAAGATTAAAACCACCAAAGGTTGCACAACGGATAAACCTGTCAAACTATTGAATATTGAAACACAATGGAAAAGAACCGAATAAAAAACAATAAATGAGAGAACACACCAAATTTACGAGGTTCGACGAGAATATCGTCTACTCCTCGGGCACCACACCGGATGATAACTTCACTATATCGCCAATATTACAACAAATGGAATTCTTTGAAATTCCCAAAGTGGGAGAATGAAGAATACAAGAGGAAGAGAGAACTTGTTTTTGGGATGATTTCTAATGGAAATACTTAGGCCTATTTATAGTTGAGTTTCAAGAACAATATGTTCAAAGTTTGGCCACCTACCAAAGAATTTTCCAATGTGTACAAGTTAGCCACCAAATATGAAATTCACATGTTCAAAGTTTGGCCACCAACCAAGATGAAATTTCTAATAAGTTGGCCACTAACCAAGATGAAATTTCCAACTTGTCAACTTAATTTCTAGACAAATCTAACATGCAGACCCTGTAAATTATCATCGTTTGGAGAAATAGGAAAGCCTCTTCCATGTTGAACCTGTTGTTCATCTTGTTCTTCATGCTGCTCCTCTTGTTCCTCTTCTTTTACTCCCTCTCCCATCTCTTCTTTCTCAACCATCTCTACTTCCTCTCCTTTATCTTCTTTCTCTTCCTCCACCACATCAACATCACCAAGATCACACCGTCTTAAGAAATTCTCCCTGCCCACATCAATACGACCTCCATCTAAATGTCACTGCACCAGTCGAGGTTCATCCTCCTTACTTTCCTCACAATCCATTACATCCTCATCCCCGACAACAACCTCCTTTTCAACACCATTATTCATCAAATTATCCTGCCCACCAGTCTCTTTTCCGAGATCATCCTCCTCCATCAAATTATCCCGCCCACCAAGAGTCAACTCAATATTATGTTCCTCCAACTGCGATCCTTCGTGAGATTCATTAACCAAATCATAAGAAATCTTGAAATCCCCATGACCATTATGCTCTTCCTCTTCCTCCTTGGCGTCATTAACCTCATTTTGTGGTTTCTCCAACAGCAGCTTTTCCTTCTGGAATTTTATCAAACATTGCATATGCGAGGCGTAGTAATAATTCTTTAAATTGGGAGAAGCCATGAGCTCTTTTTCAACCATAAACCAAATCAAACCAGCCCAATCTACCTTCTCAAAATGACATTCTTTTATCATTTTGGTCCAGTTCATCACCTCTATCGGCATCATCCACGTATACTCGTGTAAAAGAACCCAATTTGACACAAATTCCTCAAGAAAGCCTATCGATTCCTTCGACTCTTCAATATCAACGATGCTATCCTTATCCTTCTTCTTAGACAACTTCAAGGCACGAGCTAAGTCAGCCCGGTTGACCACAATGCGCCACCCATTAACGTAGCTACAACTAGATTGCGAGTTGTACGTAACGATTAACTGAGCGATGAGATCGGTTCGAAGATCTCTGTCGAATTCCAAATGAACAAAATCCCACAAACCGAGTTGCTTCAAGAGCTTTTCGTGCGACGAAAACTCAAGGGTTTTGCTGGGGACGAAAGGAATGGGCTTTAGGACTTCACTCAGTATCTCCAGCTTCTTCTGGGCCTTTTTCTCCTGATCGCGTCGTTTCGTGGCCGCCTTCTTCCGTTTAGGACCGCCTTCACGGCGAAAACCATTGTGGGTGAAACGGAGGTCGGTGGGTGGAGATGAAGGAACATACAAATCTGGGTCGTCTACATGAGCTTCTTCTTCTTCGATCAGATCTTCTTGACCATCGGGTTTGTGTTGGGGTTGAAGGGCTTCGGGGACTAACGCTTTAGGCGATCCCTGTGGTTGGTTAGGGTTAGGGTTTTCGTTGGGGTCTGGTTGCGGTTGATCTGGACTATCAGTGGAGGAGGCCATGGGAACAAAGGTTTAATCAAAAGATCAGAGACGATTGACAACTCCGTCACTTATGTTTGCGCTCGCGCAGATCACGTGTAGACATTAGGCTTCGCAAACTGTTTGTTTTTTAAAAGACAGAAACCCTTCAAACATCTGCGTGAGCTCTTCTTGGTGCAGACTTAATTTTATGTCTTCAAAGCTCTTCAAGAACAATTATAAAATATAGTTATTTATTAAAATAATTTTAAATAATTTAATAAGGTTATTTATTTTAAAATAATTTATTTTAAAATAATTTATTATAAAATATAGATTGATTTATTTTAAATAATTTATTAGTATGGATTAATTTATTTTAAAATATGGATTGATTTATTTTAAATAATTTATTAGTATAGATTGATTTATTTTAAAATATGGATTGATTTATTTTAAAATATGAATTGATTTATTATTGTAGTTGTATGGATTGATTTATTTTAAATAATTTATTAGTATAGATTGATTTATTTTAAAATATGGATTGATTTATTTTAAATAATTTATTAGTATGGATTGATTTATTTTAAAATATGGATTGATTTATTATTGTAGTTGTATGGATTGATTTATTTTGAATAATTTATTAGTATGGATTGATTTATTTTAAAATATGGATTGATTTATTTTAAATAATTTATTAGTATTGATTGATTTATTATTGTAGTTGTATAGATTGATTTATTTTAAATAATTTATTAGTATGGATTGATTTATTTTAAAATATAGATTGATTTATTTTAAATAATTTATTTGTATGGATTGATTTATTTTAAAATATGGATTGATTTATTATTGTAGTTGTATGGATTGATTTATTTTAAATAATTTATTATTGTAGTTGTATGAATTATTTAAATTTCAGTATTGTAAAACTAAAATTATTTAAATCTCAGTATTGCAAAACTCTTTTAAGTTTAAAAAATCAGTTTATTTATATTTCAGTTCATTTTAGCAGTCTGCAGATGTTAAAAAACAAACAGTCTTCTTCTTGGAGACTGCAGACTTTTGGTCCATCTTTTCTGCTGCAGATGCCTGCAGATGTGGTCCGCAGACTGTAGACCTTTTACTTCTACAAAAACAAACACCACCTAAAGCTTTAACTCCTGCAATTTTTTATTTTTATCAAGTTAAAAGGTCATTATAAAATAGGGTAAACTACAAGGTTTACTACTCCATTATAATTAAAAATTATTTTGACTATATCGATGTTTTAATTCGATTAAACATTCCATCCAACTATTTAAATGGTTCAATCAAACTACTGACCGTTAACTTTTAACTGTGGAGGTGACGTGACAGTTAAAATATAATCTAGATAATGACTCCTCAGTTAACTTTTTGGTATAATTATATATTTGGTCCTTGTTACTTATCTAAAATGTCAATTTAATCTTAATTTTAATTACATTCAATAAATTTAATCCTCTATTTATATTTGGTTCCTCTAGATATCTTCTAAGCAACACACCTTTTATCGATTGGTTATCGGCCTCCGATCGTGTCTCACCATCAGTTCCAGCTCAGCCTACAAGGAAAAACCATGTAAGCTCCGACGATTCGCCCGCTTTAAAATCATCTTCATCCACCCGGTCCCATCTTCACTCTGTTATTTTCCTGTATCCTGTTAAGGGTCTTGAAATCTCTTTATTTTTGCTAGCAGGTAGTGGTATTGAGGGTGTCAATCCATTGCAAAGGATATGAAGGGAAAGAACAAATCTCAAAAAAATGGAAGGTGAGTTTTCAACAGATTGAAAAATGGTCACATTCATTAGTTATTCAAAGCACGAAACACTAACGTGGTTAGTGATATGCAGGAGTGAGATCCTTCGGTATAGATTTGGCCACAAAGAAAGTTACAGTAATCGGTGGTGTAACTCCCTCGAGTGTGCTTGCAAGCGTTTCCAGGGTGAAGAATGCACAGCTCCGGCCATCTGCAACACCAACATCAACTCCATCTTCTCCAATAGCTAAACCCTCTTTGCTGATAAAAAAAACACTAGGTTTTTTCCTTCTTTTTCTTTAAACTAATCCAAATGTAAGTTTTTATGGGGAATGTTGTCAGAAGTCGAAACAATAGGTTTTGTTTTTCAAAAGAGACATATGATAAAGATGATGTTTGATGCTCTTGTGCTTTCTGATCATCTTGGACCAAGTAAAATGGAATCATCACAAAATATACCCTTTGTCTGAATTTAAAACCTCTAAAGTTGTCTTCTTAACTACAGTGCTCGATGGTTTCCATAATGAAGGGTGATGAAATTTTTGCAGACAAAAAACTTGCATCATTGTGATTCAAGATTAGATTAAAAAGCCTTTTTGTATATGGAGAGGGACTAGAAAAATAACATAATTCGAGGTCCCCAAAGCATGAGATTGAGTTGCTCGCGTAAAATGGTATTGCGATGATAAATGCGGTGGAGATTACTAGAAGAGTTTAGGGAGACGAGTAGTGAGAGTGTCTGCAGTTAGTGGGAGTGATTGGAGGAAAATAAATTAAAATAAACTTAGTTAAATTTATTGAATTTAACTAAAATTAGGATCAAATTGACATCTTAGGTAAGTAACAAGGACCAATTATATAATTATACCAAAAAGTTAACTGAGGAATCATTCTCTCGGTTAAATTTTAACTGACATGTCACCTCCATCATTAAAAGTTAATTGTCAGTGGCTTAATTGAACCATATAAATAGTTGGGCGGTCTGTTTGATCAAATTGAAACATCGGTGGTCAAATAATTTTTAATCATAGTTGAGTTGTCATCCGTGTAGTTTACCCTATAAAATAATATATATTTTAAATATTCTCAATCATTTGATAATAGATGTTTTCAATTATTCTATTATAGTCGTTAATATTTGAACTCATTATCTTCAGGAATAACAAAAATTATTTTAACCATTCTATTCGTGCACAACTCTACCTTAATTACAATTAAATATTAGGTAAAAATACATCAATAATCCCTCCAATTTTTAAAATTTTGAAATTATAAAATTATCACTAAAATTTTGGTTTAATAATAAAATAATTAGAATTTATTCTTTTGAAATATATAATTAGAATTAATTGGATGAATGATTTCGGTGATAAAAGAAAATAGGATACACTATGTATTTAGTATTTAAGTTATCTGTTTATGTCTATTTTAGTATTTAAACTTTCAATTTTTTTAAAACCATACATAAAATTTAGTTTTTATTTCATCTTAGTATCCGCCGTTAAAAACTTAATGTGTTTAGTAATTAAACTATCAGTTTTGATATGCTTTTAGTATCTAAATTTTCAATTTTTTTTTCTAAACTTAAGGTTAAATTTTGAACGGTGTACTAAAATGAAACAAAAAACTAAAGTTTTTAATGACCGGTACTAAAATGAAACAAAAACTAAATTTTAGGTATGATTTTGAAAAAATTAAAATTTTAGATATTAAAATAGACCAAAACCGATAGTTCAAATACTAAACACGCAATTTACCAAGAAAACATTACTCTTCATAAAAGGAAAATTATGAGATGTCAAACATTGTATGCACCACTAATTTCATAAGGTAAAATTCATAAATGGATATTAAACTATATCAAAATGATATTTTTAAATTCCAAACTTTTAAAAATTATATAATACACTTATACTTTAGATTTTGCTACAAAATAGGCATAACGCCATTATCTATCATTAAAAAGGTGGTGTGACATGTTAAATTAATAAAAATAATCTTATTTTACATTTTAATTGTAATTGAAATTCCATTTTACTGTTAATTTTAATTAAAATAAACTTAATTATATTCGTTAAATTAAAAATAAAATAGATATAAATAAATTAAATGTTATTTTTAGTATCATATTATAAATATGGAATTTATACCATAAAAACTACTTGATACATTATTAAAAGTTAAGGATTGTTTTGATTATTTTTATTTAAGTTTGGATGTATTTTTTTTATTAATATGATAGTGTAATTTTCTGAATATATTTTTTAAAATGGTGCTTAAATTTGTTAAACAAAAATCAAATGTTTGAATCACATAGTTTAATAAAAAATTAATTACATTGTTTGATAATTCAATTTTTTAAATCTCATAAATCATAAATTTTTAATTTTACAAATACAATCACAATTAATAAATAATTTGTTATAAAATAATCAAATGAACAACAAAAATTCAAAAAAAATCTAATTTTAAAAATAAATTGTTTTCGTATATTTTAAAAAAATCTAAATTTTGTAATTCTTTTTTTTAATTATTACTTAAAAATATTGGAAAAATATCAAAGTGAAATTTTAGTTATAATTGAGAGGTCAAATAAGATATTTCCTATTAATTTAGCGTGACATGTCACATCCTTAACAATATTTCATGGTCGTTACATGCTTTTTAATAATATCTCTAAAATGAATGGCTCTCGTATCGACGGCAGCAAAATTGGTGTTTCTTTCGCTAAATTCAAACCTCGTCATTCATATTGGAGAAAGTCATCGACAAGTATTCTTCGCAAGTCTGGGATGGAAGATGTTTCGAGTAAGAACCATTATAAAGTTGAAGGTGTTATAGATGAAGAAAAACTCCAGGTGTTGAGCAAATTGTCTAGTGGGGTGGTGCAAGGACTTTGTTAAAATTGGTCATCTCGCTAGACAAATGCAATCGAAGGGTCTCACTGGCTTCACATTAATGAGAGCTGCTGGTAATGCGATTTTAATGATTTTCGAAGACAATGCTTCAATGAGAAGTGTAAAGAACGACAAATCAAAGATTCTCGCAGAGTGGTTCTCCATAGTCGAAGCTTGGTCAGAGAGTTTGGTAATGGAGTGTCGTTGAGTATGGCTAGTTTGCGAGGGTGTTCCTTTTCACGCATGGAATTGGAATACTTTCAAGAACATTGCTGATAAGTGGGGTCTTTTATTGGCTATCGACGAAAGTTGTCGATCTCCATCATCCTTTGATCGGGCTAAAATTCAAGTCCTAACAA